AGGGCGAGCGTTCAGCCAGCTGGACGGCAGGGCGCGAGTCGCCGTACGGGAATGGCGTCCACTCAAGCTTTCCAAGAAAGTTCCAAGAGATTGGGCGAAGCCGCTAGAAGCAGGAACGGGCGACCGGGTTCGGGGCGCGCGTGTGTGGTGGCATGGCACTGGGCTTGGGCTGTAGCTTCGTTGTACATACACCAGACCGGCCACCAGTCCTACCTCACTAATACGTGACAATCCTTGGGGGGCCCGACATACGAAGCCAACCCTCACAGGACACTGGCAACAAACAATGCGACAGGTGAATCGCAAACGACTGCTGGAGGCCCAAAGCCATTTCTGGGGAACGGGGGGGTTCTTGGAAGGCACCCCCCCCCGGTAGACATGGCGTGATGATTGGGGTAACTTGATTGACAGGGTCAGAGCCTGTCTGACAGGCCGGATGCCGCGGAGAGGGCTCCGTTTTGCGGTCTGGAAGACGCGTTGCGCACGACAATGGTCTAAAAAACGGCGCCATGGGAAAACGTCAGGTCCAAACCTGAGGATGGCTTGCCGCTCAAAAGGGACCCGGCAGCGATCCCAATGCGCTCTTCACGAAGGGCTTGAACAAAAGTCCGATCGCCTTTGCCCAGTTTGTGTACGGTTGAAGCTTGGCTTCGCAAATGCTGTCGGCTGGCTGACCAATTACAAGTGGCTGACCGGGGGGTTTATACGCTACGTTAATTAGTCCGAGTAAAGAGAACGGCTGCGTGGGACCCGCTCGCAAAAGATCCTTTGAGGGTTGCCACGTCCAAACGGACACTCCGCCCAGAACAGGCGAAAGGCACCCAAGCGAAGAGAATTGAGTGTGCGAGGGTGACAACTGGTTCGGGCCAGCCGCCACTCGCTGCGTTTGCCGTTTGCCGTTTGCCGTTTCGTTTACGCACCTGTTTTCCCGTCCGTCCAGCCGTCCAGCCAGCCAGCAGTGTTCGGGTGTCGGCGTCGAGTGTCGACATGTCTTGAGTGACATATCTTGAGTAGTTGCAAGGCTTTTTGTCGTGTCTACTGTTGTTTAATGGTACACCCTGGGCTGTCTCGTTTGGGCGAAGGGGTTCAAACCACGGAGACAGCCGTCCCTCGGCCGATTCATCTGTGCCCAAGCCACTTGTAGACGGGATCGCCATATGTGTAGTGCCTGGCTAATGCGCTCATTCTGTTGCCGCGCGCTGTGCTATTTCTCTCGCCATCCAATGACTTACAGTGCAGAGCCAAGAGATCTTCGAGGCATCGCAGACGGTGACGGCAGCGGCGGAGCCAGAGGGCAGGCCGGGACAGGCGGCTTGACACTAAAGTAAGGACAGGAGCGTGGCGACATGGATGACGAAGAAATGCTTGACTGCGCAATGGGATGGATGGCAGAGTATTAAGGAATGTTGAATGAACGATGAATGCTAACTGGGCGCGGCGGCGGATATCTGACCTGTTTCGTCTTGGCCTTGGTGTTACAGTGGGCGCGGGAGACGAATGTGTGTGTGTGTGTGTGTGTGTGTGTGGATGTTCGTAGTAATGGTTGCGCTGTGTGAGATGGCGAGTTTAGTGCCACGACATGCCAACGGCTACTCCGTCGTCTAACTGGACCCCATTGGAGGCGGGAGTCGCTCAGGTGGCTCCTCGGGAACAAAACTGTCTTAGTCTGTGGTGTACAACTCTCTGGTGCGGTGCTGTTGCCGCTTAGAAAGCACAACTATGGTAGGAGTCTCAAGCTCGCAATCAGCATCCGGGGAGGGGACGTGACGATGGATGCGGAGAAGGAGTTTACCTACTCGCGGTGACAATTGGAACTTTCCCTCATGGCACTTTCCCTTATGGCAGGTAGATTACCCCCGCCCTCTCCTCAACCGTAACCTACCAAAGACTTTTTAGCTTAGAATTTACCTTAAAAAGTGATGAAGTGGGCTCCATTATCCACAGCAGCCAGTCGGTCAGCAAGTCACAGCCTCGGTCTGGTTCCGTTTCATTTATTTCCGAGAGGGCCTGCGAATTGAATGACGCGGACACGCTATGCAGCAGCGGTAGAGCAGAGTCTTACTTCCCCCTGCTGGACAACCACCTGAGATAGTATCATAGGTAGCATTGTTGTTGCCAGATAGAAGCCGCATTGCAACTCTGTGACTACCTCGAGGAGGAGTCCAATGAGACGTGTTGAATACTACCTGCCTGCTTGATTGAGGTTGCTCAACCGAGGGGCCAACAGCGATGAGGGAATGACGCCTCGGCGAATAAAAGTGCTCGTCTGTCCTGTTAGGCATTCCTTCTTCTTTCTCTTTTGTCGGGTCGCGTCCGACTCGAGCACGGAAAGTGGACGCAGAAGCAGGCACGGAAGGCGGGGCCTGCGCCGGGCTAGACCCCCGCCTTTTTGTGCCGTAATGCCGTAATTGGTGCCTTTGCGAAAGCACCCATGATCCAGCTGACCTCTGCGGCTGGTACCGTGCCGGCAAAATAAGGAAGGTGAGTACTTGCAAAGGTTCCAAAGGGGCCATACTCGCTCGACAGAAGTACCTTGCCTTGCCGTGCTGACTTTTGCCCGCCGGCCCTTTTGAAGCTCGAACGCTGCAACGCCCTTGGCCAGCTTCCTGCCCTAGGGTCATTGTAGGTACTCTCCTGCCTATGCCGTTCAATCTAGAACGCCCTTGCTTGCATCAGATACATTGTGTCTTGAGCTTGATTCTCATACGTCCAGTGTAGGTAGCTCGTTGTTCTACCCCCGTCGAGTCTCGGCGTCTTCAACTCGGCATTTCCTGGCTGTAGATAGGTAGGCCACGTAAGTAAGGTGACAGTGAAAGGCAAGGTCACTCACTCCACTGGCAAAACTGCAAAACTTTTAGGACCGCGGCTCATCAGTGACAGTCGGCCGCCCAGCAAATCTGTATCGGTATTAAACTCCCGCACCCGTCCGCCGTCCCCAACTCAAAAGATACCCTGCCGTCCTGCTGGATTTAGGCACGCCGGCAAGTAGCATCACCAGCGGCCCAGAGGCCCAGAGGAGGCCCCAAGCTGGGTGTGGTCGAGTTGAAAAGTACCACGGGCCCGCGCCATCCCGGTCGCCGCATGTCTTTCACCTCCCAAGTGCGGTTAGTCTTGTTGACAAAAGGCCTCGGTCCACTCGGCGCTGTTCTTGCTTTCGACATGAGCAGGGGCCCTTTTGATTTCACAAACGGATGAACCGCTGGCCAGTCAGGGGCCAAGACTTGTTCGTGGACCAGTGAGCGCCGAGGGTTTGTCTTGACGATCATCGGCACCGACGTCGCCCTAAGTCTGCGCTTGCCATTGCTTGACGGCCATTCTCCTTGTCAATCCCACCACCGCTCGCTCTGCCGCTTTCGTCGCCGTTTACCTGCCTGCCCTGCCCTCGCCTCGCCCGCCTGAAACCTCCAGTACGGGCATGAAGGGTCTGCCTTCCATCTTGTCCGCTGCCGCTCGCCCGCTAAGCAGGCACAGCAGAAGCCCTCCCAGTGCTGTTCGTCCAGCCAGCCGCCAACTTGACCTCCTCGTACGTACAAGCGCCTTCGTATGAAATCGCGAATCCGCCAGATCGCACCCGAGGCAGGCCAAGTACATCTCGCAGATCTCACGTACTGTACGTACCTCACCCCTCCCCCCATTATTGGACCTCGACTGGGGGCATCGCTACGTCTACGCCTGCCGCACGGCCAGAATCCGAGCCTCCATCTCTTTTCTCCTCCTCCCTCCCCATTATCAAATCACCCAATACTCGCAGAAGCTCCGACAGGCACCGACTGTAGCACGCAAACTTTTCGCATTGGAGACGCGAGAAACACAATCCGGTCACCTTCCAGCACCATTGAATTCCGTCTTGAGCGCATGCCCGCCCTTTTGATCCATTCGTGACCTGTTTCGCTGGACTCACACCTCTACGCCCTTTCCATCGAGTCCCATCCATTCGTCCATCCATCTCTGGTCGGTCACCACACCTCGCGCAGCCCCCAGGAACACACCAATTACTGTACACGCTCTTCACCCACCTCCTGTTTCTGTTACCCTATTCTTTCGCCATACCACGCCGTCCTTGTCAGCAACTCAACCGTGTTCCCACCCGTCGCTCTCTTCAACAAGCCCTGTCCTGGCCTGAACCGACGTCCGATGCGCAAGAGATCCGCCCCCAGAGCCAAGTTCTCCTTGCGGCCCTTGTCGTTCAACACAGGCTTGCTCCCCTTGCTGGGCGGTCCCGGACATCGTCTCCAACCTCTCGCGCTTCTTCGGCCCTGCACGGGAATCGGTTCCTTCATATCCGCGTTGCACTGCTTTCATCATCGGGCTTCCTATTCAGTCCAACCTTGTTAAGCGGCTCTTTCGCGCTGGCACCACCCGATGACTCGACGCCTCCCGTTTCGCTTCACTCCTCCCGACTACCCACTGCAACCTTGACCTTCCATCCCATCTCGTCTCTCTGTCCTCCTGCTCGTTCTGTGCGGTGCTGCTGCTCGTCTCGCGAAGCTCGAACGAACAGACGTTGAGAGCCCCGTGGTTGGAGCGAGGCGCACTTGGACCTGTCGCTCATTGCCACCGCTTCCGCGCTTCTCGGTACATTCACTCCCTTCCTCATCCACAAATTCTCATCATCACACACCATCCGAGGGCTCCAGTCCTTCTCCATACCTACTACGCATTTGTTCCTGGCCGGATTTACCCACTCCCCCCGATCTCATCTCATCTACCGGTCTCGTTCTAGGGCCCCTTTGCATTTGTTTTACGTTACTCTGCCCCGTGCGGCCCTAAGACAGAGCCGCCGACAAAAGGTCCTTCAACATGAAGATTTGCGGGTCAGCATAACCCCCAGGCCAAGCACAACTCGTGAATCCCCCGTCGCAAAGACAATCCGCCCGAGAGAGACGCACGGGAACGGGCCTCTGCCTCCGCTGCCACCCGCCGCTTGGTGGTCCTGGCCTGACACGAGTCGCCTGTTGCCGGCTCGCTATACTCCTGTCATATAAAACCTCACCTGCCCCATGGATCCCCGCAGCCACCACGGCGGAAATGGACCATCTAATACCGCTGCCCAGCCGCCGCCTCTCCGGCGGCGACTATCGATGGAGGAGGATTATTTCTACCAGGAAGTCATGACTTCCCCTTTCCGACGACCTTCACAGCCGCCTCCCTACGAGCGGGACGCCAGACCAAGACGACCGTTGGCCGGCAGGACCAACGTCCAGCATGGAACGGAGGAAAGCTTGCCGGACTATTCTTGCGACATTGAGTTGGAGGGCGTATGGGTGAAGAAGATGGAGATTGAGAACACCACCAAAAGAGCAGAGGACAGAAACTGGCACACCACCTTCGTCCAACTACGGGGCACCGCCCTGAATTTCTACAACGTGAAGAAGGATTGGGGATGGGGTAGGACGAGGGACGGGCCCACAATCTCGCCAGACAGCCCGCCCTGGGTACGGAAAGCCTCCCTCGACAAGGCGTACAGTCTCCAGCACGCAGACGTCGGTATTGCTGCCGACTACAAGAAGTAGGTTGCCCTGATTCTCAGCCTCATCTCACGCCAAGACCTGCCAAGAGACTGACTCCCAGCTAGGAGGCGATATGTAATCCGCGTCAGAGCAGAGACGGACCAGTTCCTCCTCTCATGTATAGAGCTGAGCACCATGGTCAAGTGGTTGGAAGCGCTCTTCGCCGCCATCGATGTCGCCGCCCCGATCGACGACCGTGATTACCCCCGCGATCAGAGTATCCCCCGCATTCAACGTATCCGCTGGTTCCGGGGCGAGACGCCAGCTCAGACGAATGACTATCCCGCGCCGACACCGCGCCCCCTCAGTCCGGAGCTACGCCGCGTGGCTTCTGCCGAGAGCTCAAATCCCTTTCCATCCTCGTTGGTGATGGAGGCCGTTCTAGACGAGCCCGTCATCGACGACACACCTATTGGCGAGGGCGAAACTGCTGTCCTGGAGACTGAGTCTATCTACGGCCCTGGGCCTGCCCGCAATGAGCAAATCAGCAGCCGCCTATCGACGACATCGTATCCAAACGAGGCCATCGACCCTGACACCGGCAAATGGGCTCCCGAGCACCAATGGACTGCCGCCCATGACTTGCTGTATGCCAAGCTTTGTTACTCGGTTCTCTTGTTCAAGAGCCCGCGGAAGTCAAACTACATCATCAGCAAGGGGAAGCAATGGTTTGTGGACTGGGCAACGGGCCGCATGGTCCGGGTCCTGCCGCCGACCTACGGCGAGATCGACTTCTTTGGCCCTTGGCAAGTCATTCACACGGAAAACAGAAGGATTTAAGGGTTGACTGTCCCTCACTTCTACTGCACATATACATACCCCGTGCTCTCTACAACGAGAGCCTTTTTCGCATTGTCACGAGGAAGAATCGCAAGATTCGAACGACACGGATCTACCATACCCACAGGCGGCAGGGAGGTACGGCGGCCAAAACAAAATCGGGTGGGACGGCGCGGCATATGCATTTTTGGATGGCTGTTTCTCTATTTTCCCTTCATGTTTCTTATTTAGTCCCATCTCCTTTGTTCTTCATGGCGTGCGAGAGCGAGAGCATTACCAGCCGTGCATATCATCATTGGGCGGCGTTGTTGAGGGCAGCGAGAAATCTCTTGCCGTCACTTCTTTGTTTACCTTTTTGGTCGCTGTGTTGCATAAGATGTTCAGCGTTGGCAGTACGGAAGCCCTGGCAGCAAGCATGTATGTTGATGATGGGAGGCTCGAACCCTCCTGGGCTGTCGCCAAAGAGTGGCTAGGCTGACCTAAATATAAACAAATTCATTAATCACTGTCAGCATTGTCTGGCACTAATCAACCGTATGGCGTACCATGGTCAGGCAGCCCAACATGCCAAGCTGCGCAGTACATTCGACCTGTATTCGTTCGCCCCCAAAAGAACGCCCCCAATTCCCGTGAACCTGGGTATGCCATTGATTCATCTACATCGACCGACAAAAGTTTCAGATAGGGATACAGACCCTAGTAACATCAAAGTGGTATCTCGTGCACTACATAAACAAGGCTACGAAAAGCCTTTCTTCTTCTTCTTCTTCTTTATTTTCTTCATCAGTCTCCCGCTTCCGCTTTGGATCGAAACTCTCCTCTTCTCTGCTGTCCATCACATCCCGGACATCTGGGCCTCGGAAGCGCGCGCCTCGGCGGCCAGCTCGGGCGCGACGTCGACCAGCATGGCGTTGGCGCCGTCAATGTCGGCGACGTGGCTCTCGAGCTGGGCGAGGAGGGAGTCGATCTCGGCGCGCTGGGACCGGACGGCGGCGAAGAGGGACTCGTTGGAGGCCTGGGTGTTTTGAAGGCGGGCGTTGAGGTGGGACTGCTGCGAGGCGAGGCGCGGCGCGAGGTGGGCTGCGAGGACCTCGTCGGGGGCAGGAGGTGCGGTCTGTTTTGGGGGAGGGAAGTTGGACGTTAGCTTGCAAGAGAGATGGTGCGTAACGGGGGAGAGAGGGGTGAGAGGGGGGGGGGGGGGGGGGGGGGGGGGGGAGTCCGCGTACGGAATTGGTTCTTCCGCCGAGTCGCCGCTTTCTTGTCTCCTGCGCTCCGCGTCGCTGACGAGGTTTTCAAAGTCGTTTAGTTTCCGGATGACGTCGCGGTCTACTAGGATCGATTGGAAGTCTTTCTGCATGTGGTCCATCGTGGTCAGCCAAACCGATTTGCAAACTGTACTTGTCGCCGAGGGCGGGGGAGGGAAACCCCTACGGAGCCAATGCCAAACGGGGATGAAGGGGGACGGGGGGGACGGAGACGCACATTACACCGCTCCTCGAGGTAGTCGACCATCTGCTTCTGGACGTTGCGCAGGGTGTTGGGCGCATGGGCGGCGATGGTCGGGAAGCACGACGCGAAGTTGTCGTAGCTGACCTTTTGGAGGGTGCGCTGGAGGGCGATGTCGTAGAGCTGCGTGAAGCGGGTCGCGCGCGGGCCGGGTGTCACTGGGGTGTGTTTTTGCGGGAGGGGAGGGGAGGCTGGCGGCTGTTGTTCTTCTACTTCTTCTCCTTGCTGTTCTTGGTGTTGTGATGATTGCGCTGTCGCTGTTGCTTGTGTCGTTGTCGTTGTCGTTGTTGTTATCGTCGGCGCCGCGGCGGTCTGCGGCTCGGGTTCCGTCGGCGGGGGTTGGACGGCGTGGTCTTGCGCCTGTGTTTGTATGGTTTGATGCGGTTCGGTCTGGGAGGGAGGTTGTCGATTGTCTTGATCTGGGGCGGACATTCTGGGCGATCCGTGTGGCGCGTGGCCGGTCGTCGTCGTTGTGGTGCGGGGTGAGGTGGGAGGACGTTGTACGGTGCTATGTGGGTTTGCGACTTCGAGATGCGAAATGCGACGGAGTTGTAGATGCTGAGGGCCCTACATGAGACGCGTTTTCGGCGGTGGTGGGGGAGCAGGAAGCGTTGCGCGAATATGACGGAGGTTCACGTGCTGTCTTGCCTTGGCGGTGGGATGAACCGCCAAGAAACAACGCTAATCGGCTGGCGGGTGTCCCTGGACAGGGGGTGATGACCTGTTCGCGCTGCATAGCGAACTTCCTTTGATTCTCGTTCTGTCAACCTCCAAATCAAGTTGCCATGTCGTAACGTAATATACCAAAACGCACCCATTCCACTGTACTTGGAGTGCCCAAGGTCATTATGAAAATTCCATTCCTTTCAAATCAGGGCTGTTCAGTCCGTTCCGACGCCGCGCTTGGCGCACCGCAGTGATCAATGATACAAACAATCTCGACGTCTGACAGTGCTCAACACGTTGTTGGCCTGAACCTCTGCCGTTTCTAGATCAGGATAGGAATTCATGGGTTTCTTTTGCAAATAAAACGTATAATAGCCACTGGGACAAAACCGTCGTGTCTCATCTACGGCGTTTGCATCCAGACTATGCGCCTGCCACCGTTGAGTAACCACACGGTGCGGCTGGATTCAATATGGAGTTCCCACTGACCACTGACTAATGTTTGTAAGCCAGTTCCTGTATTCCTGTAGTTCTTCGGATGCTTCCTAGCAAAAGTCCGTACATACATACCATCACAATACTTCATCATTGGCTTCTTCCCCTATCCTCTTTCAACATTGCTAATACATTCACCACAACGGGGTGGCCCTTGAGGCATTCACATGCCGCGTCCCCAGCCGTCAAAGCCGGAATGTGAAGTCCCAGCTGACCACATCCACATCCGACCAAAGGCCCGGGACACGAAGCACGCGCACAATCAGCTCGGTACGGCCGTCGCCTGGCTCGCCAGGACGAAAGATGCTCAACTCAAGGTCTGCTGGCGGCAAGAGAAGGGCATGACATGTTCCAAACCTCACACTCACAATCAACGACACCGAGATGGAACTGTTAAATATCCACCTCGTCGGCCTCTTGTGCTGCCATAAGGTCAGATGAGATATGCATATAGATCATGAAGCCAGATGTAAAAAGGGGAGCACCAACAAAAGCAGAGACGAGGCAAGCAGAACACTGTGAGTTTGAACGAATGCGTACAGGCATTCATGATTGGCCTTGGAGGAACGTCACGACGTCGAATGCCTAGTATTCAAACACTTGTCACACGTCAGACACAAAAGCATTACCCAGAAATTGTGGCATCACCGAGCAACATCTTCAGACAGCTCACCGCAGCTATTAGTAATTGTCGTCTGTTTCTCATTAAAAAGAACCGGTTACGGATCCTCTGTGTGGTGGTTGTGTGTGTCGGTCTTGATATGGTACAGCATCGTCACCCAATGCCTGGCTCCCCGTTCCCATTCATTTCCGTTCCGTTCCCTCCGAAGACAAAAATATCTTCTCGGCAAAGCATCGGGACGCCAAAACTTTTGTTGTTCATGCTTTCCCATTTTCCTCCCAATTTCTCCCGTTCCGCCTCCGCCCAACTTCGCCAAATGTACAGATAGACATATCTCCAATTCTTCACCATCAGTTATATCATGGCAGTGAAGAAGGAAAGAGCTAGCTCAAACGTTACGCTGCAGTCGTCCGCAGAAGTGTAGGACCTGACCGTCTGCACGGATGCAAATGCTTGAATAACGCAGGCGCATACCAAAAAAAAAAAAAAAAGACAAGAGAAATGAAAAAGTAGGTTGAGGGGAAAAGTACAGGAAACGGTGTGTGAATTCCACGCCCTTGCCCTGCCAACTCCTAGCAAAAAAAGAAAAGAAACAGAATATAACTTTTCTCTTCCGTCCTCGTCGGTATCGTCCGATGGTCGTGAGAGTACTTGTAGTTTCGAGGACCGATGATCGAAGGTTTGATTCGATTGCGGTCGTGGTGCATGATGTCTAAGGGAAGGGTATAGAAAGTACCCTTCAGACACCAAGAGGGTAGATGAGCGAGTCGAAGTATGCGGTTGATCGACAACGCCAGTCAGAAGCCCTCATTATTGCTACCGAGAAAGGCCGGAGACACTTATGGGGCTTTAGAACGACGCCTGGAGAAACCCGCAACTTTAAGCCGCGGCCTGGGAGGCACCGCGGCCACGGACACTGCCGCGACCACGGGTCTGGCCACCGGTGAAGTTACCGCGGGCGTTGCCCTGGCTGCCGGAGCGGTTTCCCTCAAATCCACCGCGGCCACGGCCGCCACCGGTGGCGTTGCCACGGGGGGTAGAGTAGTTGCTGCCGCCGTAGGCGGTGGCCTTAGGGCGGCGGGGCTCAACAATGATGTTCTCGCCATTGACGGTGTGGGGGTTGGCGGCGGCAGCAGCCTGGTAGCCGGCAACGGTAGCGAACTCGACAAAGGCGCAGTTCTAGGATATCGTTAGTTACAACTGCTCAGACTTGACCACATGGTTTAGTAATTACCTTCTGGCGGTTGATGTCGAAGTAGGTGAGCTCGCCATGGGCGGCCAAGGCAGCCTTAAGATCCTCCGCCTTGACCTTGTCGGTCACGTACTTGACATATCCCAGCGTGCCGTAGTTCTCGGCAGGCGCTTGCGAGATAGATTGGGGACGGTTCTGGCGCTTCGAGTCGGCGCCAACAGACTGCCACTCAGCGGAGGGAGAGGCCTCCTTCGCAGCCTGCGCCTCGGGCTCCTTGGCGGCGGCGGTGGCAGCAGCGGGGGCAGCGGCTTGAGGAGAGGCAGCAGCGGGTGCGGGAACCTTGGCCTGGGCGGGAGCGGGAGGAGTAGCGGTCTTGGGCAGAGGGACGACAGGCTTGGGTCCGACGGCGGCAGCAGCACGGCTGGCCCAAGACATGGGCTTCATGGGGACGGGAGCGGGAGCGGGCGAAGGCTTCTCGGGTTCGGCGGCGGGAGCCTTGGTAGCAGCGACAGGGGTGGGAGTGGGGTCAGTAGGCTTCTCGGGCTCCTTGACGTCCTCTTCGGCAATCGCCTTAGCAGTAGCATCGGGGTCAGCTGCCGACTCCTCGACCTTGGCCTCGGGGGCCTTGGTGGGCTCAGGAGCGGCGGTCTCGACCTCGCTGTTAGCAGCGGGATCCTCAGGAGCCGTGCTGACCTCCTCCAACTTCTTCTCGACCTCGTCGGCGTCAACGGCGGGACCGGTAGCCTCCACATCGGTCTCCTCTACCGCAGGCTGCTCGGCCTCCTGCTGAGCAGGGGCCTCGGCAACCTCCTCAGGAGCGGCCTGCTCCTCGGGGGCAGCCTCTGGCTCGGCGACGGGCTCATCCTCATCCTCGTCGTTGATGTATCTCAGGATGTCGTTGACGACGAAGTAGCCGGAGGGTTGGGGCGCAAGAACAAAGGTCTGGACGAACTTCTTCGGCTCGGCGGACTTGATGGAGCTCTCACCAATGACCTGGATGACGATGTTGTCGAAGGAGGCCTGGGAGTCAACATTCGTGATGCGGACCTTGCTGTTCTCGAAATCAAGGCTCTTGATTCTCTCTTGAATAGCCTGGAAAAAGAATAGCGGTTAGCACGCAGTCAATAGGTGGTGAACAAAAAAACAAAAAAAGCAACAGAAAACGTACTTGTCTGCCAACAGAAACGTTCGCAACCTCTGCCTCCATGCCATAAACGAACTGGGAGCGCTTTCCATAGAAGAGCTGCGAGCTACGTGTTAGCACGGCACAATCCACATCGGACGGGGACGGGTTTCGGGCGTACGTGAAGCTTATCCGGGTTCTTGCTCAGGGTTGTGTAGTATTGCTCGACGAAGTACCAGCCAACCTCATCCTTGCTGAGGTTGTTGTTACCGGCCGACGTGGCATCGTTGGTAGCGGTGGGACCTGATGATGTTGGCTCGACAGCGTCCTTGAACTGGTCCAGGTTTGTGTAGTTACCGTTGGTTGCCATGATTGCTTATGAGGAATCTGGTGTAGGGCGCAATCGGGCCGAGGAAGGTGGGAGGGCGGGTGGAAGGAGGTGATGAAGGCGCAAAGAGGCGAAGCTCGAGGTTTCTGCGGGGCTGTTCGCTTGCTTGGAGATGTTTCGCAAACGGACGGTCGACAATAAGGGACCCTTCTGTTGATGGAATGTCAGATGGGCGTTATGCGCCAATGGGGGACGAGGATGGGGATTCCGAGAACAGAAGCTCGTGGGAGGAAGAGGAGGGCGGGCGGGATTGTAGATACCTCGGTGATGCGGTGGCTCAAAAGGAAATGCTTAGAACTGACTCGAAAAGGTGTGATAACGGGGAAACCAGGACGCCGGAAAAAGGGTTTCGACGATGATGCGAGGAGGCGGGCTGGAGCTGGAGATGGAGACGCGTGACGAGAGCAATGTGCGGAGCCAAGTGAGAGGGATGGGCGAGGGAAGAAAAATGAATGTGCACAGTTCGGACCTGGGATAAAACCAGCTCAGGGTGTGTGGGTTTTTGTGTCTGTTCAAATCTGTCGTCGGGGCGGCGGGCGGCGGGTGGGAGAGAGAGCGGAGCGTTGCGAAGAGGAGAGCAAGTGGAGGTCGATTTTTTTTATTTTTTCGTTTGCGGTTGATGTTCGTGAGGGAGGACACTTTGGGACTCTGGTGCTGCTGGGCCAGGCGCATCCAACGACGTGAATCGGAAGGGCAGAAGAAAAAAAATAACACACAATTGTTGCTGCCAGATCACGACGTGCCCTGTGCTCTCCGGCCCACGACGTTTCTCCTGCTGCAGGTAGGCCTGCGAGCTGATTACCGACCAAGGTGGGGTTCTGGCGTGCACAGATCCATGTACTTTGGGAGCTTCGAGAATACCTCCATCGCCACGCTGGAAGCCACTTCGGTCAAGGTATCGGGCTATCCGCCAAGGTATCGCTGGGATGGCTTATATAATCAGGGTCGTAGAGAACCCCAAGCTCTTGGCCAAGCTCCCAGCTCTGGCAAAGGAAACATTCAACTCCAGATAGAATAACGAGCAACTGCAATTGAGTAATATTTCGAGGCCAGGAACACTTACAAAGTTTGCCACCCACAAGGGCTCTGTTGGCTCCATGCCTCCTTGTGATTCAAATTTCTTTGACAAGGCGCATCATACCCGACTAGCCACCTATTGTCCCGCCCGCTGGGATTCCACTGCAGGGTACCGAGGCATAGGAGATCGGATACTAAGCAAGGAAGTAGTGTAAGACGCCAATGCAGACTTCATTCTTTGTTCGTGAGCTATCCTTGTACAACTCCTTCCTGGACGTGTCAACCCAAGAAACCTAGTCTTATGCAACCGTAATAGTACAGTGGTATTCAATTCCCCTTTCCCCTTGGCAGGATTTGTTTTATTCAACCCAACCAAAGACCTCACTTACGGCCATCGTGTTGGATCTTACACCAATAAGTGTAATAACGAGGCCGACCAGGTCCACAATCAGGAGCAGGGCCGCCGCCATCATGAAGCGAGGGCAGAACACCCTGTACAGCATGAGGTGTCTCCTCAGCCACCCGGCCCAAGCCATGGTCGCAAGCGACTCAACAGCAAAGTAGGCGACGAAAATGCCCAGTGCTCTGCTGACACTCTCAAGTATTCCCTTTCTCTTAGGACCGACCTTCCAGAGCACGATGAGCGGGACGGCCGCAACCGCGACGATCTGGCCGCCAAAGGTGTTGAGAGCCACGACGATGGGGCTCCAGGGGTACCGGATTGAGAAGAGCGGGATGAAGGCGCTGTCCCATTGGATGCTGCTGAGGACAGCCTGGTGGCCCGTCTTGAAGTAGCCAAAGTTGCCAATGACACCAAGCATGATGGGACCAATGGCCTCGTTCGTGAGGGAGTTGAGGTCGAGGATCTCCACGAGCGACATGACCTGCCAGAACATGAGGGCCAGCGCACCGCCTCCCATAGGCTTGGAGAGGAGAATACAAGCTCCCACAATGTTCATGGGCAGAAGCATGTATCTGGCTCCATTCGTGTTGCCGTAGCCCAGAACCGTAATCTGAGTGGTTCCAGACTTGGTCGGCGTCGTCAGGATAGATACCAACGGCGGCGCCCAGACGAACGCAGTGGTTCCGGCGACGAAAACTAAGGCAAGAATGACTTGGGCCAGATAAACTCCAGCAGTCTTGAGGGTCTTATCCGGCAGGCTTGGGAACCACTCTCCATTGTCTGCAGCATCGAGGACCCAGTAGGTGGCCGACATCAGTAGACCGATGCGGTAGACATACTCAATCCACGCCGGGGCAAGTCCCTCCCAGGAGCGTGTGGGCAAGAGGAAGGACTTGATGATGGATGGCAGAATAAGGGCGACGGCGAATGGAATGACCAACTGCCACGTGGCAGAGGTCGAAGAAGTGGCCGAAGCGTAGTAGGTAGATGTGCAGTAGGGCATCTGCTCTTCACGGCAGAGCTTCGAGAATGATGCCATTCTGCCAAGAACGACAAAGAGAACCGAGTGGTAGATCGCAAGGGTGCGCTCCCTCATTGTTGGCACGGAGAATGCGGCAAAGATGTTGGCCACGCCAAAGGTTGTGATGAAGAACAGGAGAATCGAGTCCTCCCAGATGGTGTAGGAATTGGAAGCGAAACCGAGTGACTGGCTAAGCGTGAAGGTGACAGCAAGCCAACCCCAGACGGTGTTGGGCAGAAGGTTCCGGAAAGTCTTACCGAAGCCGTACAGCGAAACCAGTACACCAACCGCGCTGGTTACAGCGGCGCCGGCGACAGCGTAAACGAGATCCTCAGGCCCGGTGAAGATGGAGTATCCGGCACCGAGTGCTGCTCCGGGAACTGCGCCGAGAATGGCAGTAAGGAAAACCTTTTTGTGGAGGGTCTTATACGAAGTGGCAGCGTCAGCCTGGACACCCTGGAGCTCCAACTTCTTCTCCGCCAGGTCGAGCTCGAGGTCGTCGAGAACGGCAAAGTCCTCATCCGCATCGCGGGAGGCATACACAAGCAACGTGACGACACCAACAGCCATGACCACAATGCCCGTCACCATCTTGGGCACGTCAAAGCGAGCCCACAAGTCCTTGCAGATGCGCAGCGTCTCCTCCTGGAACATATTGAAGAAGCCGTAGGAGTCCTGCCATGACTTCCACTGCCACGAGCGTTCGGCCTTCCTCCAGAGATGCGACACATGGCCAGCGGTGGCGCTCTTGGACTGGTCAATACCACGAGCAGCAAAGTACGAGTCTTGGTATCGCTGAATGCCAGCGGCAGTCATACGAGACACAGATGCGAGGTTGTCCCAGGCTTTACCCTTCTTGCCAGCGAAAGCCTCCTCAATGGGGCCTCCCAGATTATTGTAAGGAATGGGAAGGCCTAGCAGCAGTGCCAGAGTCGGGACGAGATCGATCTGATTGACTGGCCTGATCTTGGCCATCGTAGGGGGCTCCTTAAACTCGGGCTTCGTCCGACCGAAGAACGGGCGTTTGGAATACATCCACAGAGCCGCCTCAACCTCGTCATCGCTCTCTCCGCCGTGATCGCCCTTTGCATCCATGCCATGATCTCCCATGACGACCAAAAGAGTGTCGTCGTCGATTTGTGCAACGAGATCGCGGATAAAACTATCCATTTGTTGAAGCTTCTCTCTCATTGCCGCGTGGTCCGGTCCATATCGGTGTCCGGCATGATCAACGCCAAGCAGATGACCAATGAGAACGTCCCACTTGCCCTTCTGCTCCTGCTTGAGTAAAGGGAAGATGTGGTCGATGACACCATTATCCACCGTGTGCAGATCCCAAACATTGAAACTATCGTACGCACGGCTCACGTTGGCCTCGAAGTAGCCGGGGAAGACAGACCACCAAGTATCGTCGCCGAGGTGAGCAATGCGCTTTCCGGCGTCCTTTAGTTGCATAAGCAAGTTATCCTCCTCGATGGCAGTACCAGCAAAATTGCTACCAGCGTCGATGAACGTTGGCAGTGTACCCGTGGTTAGACCCTTCAAACGCTGGAGCGTAGTCGTCGGCGGGTCCGCGATAAAGGGGCGCAAGAAGGCGTGCTCCGGGGACTTGACGGCGGTCTCGTGCAAGAAGGGAAGCGCATTGTGGTAGGGGGCCTGGTCGTCGACGGGGACCGTGAAATCGTATCGCAAGGCGTCGACAATGATAACCACCGCCTTGTCGAAGGACTTGGGATGCCAGCAGCCTCCTTCGACCGTGCCCTGACCCTTCCAGCTCGACGAGAGCTCAATCGGCGGCGCCGTGCAGTTGGACTTCTCGTCCAGAACCAAACGCGTCAGAAGGAACCCGCTGGTAAAGAAAGCAATGCCGACGACGTGCAGGCACAGTATCCAGGCCCAGAACCCGACGGTCCACCACCACCTGCGCTCGTACGCGTCCTTGCGCCGGGACTCGAAGACCTCGCGCTGCTTCTCGAGCAGCACAGCCCTCTCCTTCTCGGCCTGTATCTCCTCGGGCGATCTATTGGCCTCTTCGATTTCTTTTTGACGCTTCGCCTTAGCGAACTGCTCGGCAATGGCCTTGTAGTCAGCTGCTGGCGGCGGAGCCTTCGCTCGAGAGGCTTTCTGTTGTGGCATTGTGGGCTTGGCCTGGCTGGGCTGTGTGAGTGGTGGGAAAAGAAAAAGAAAAGAAAAAAGGGCGAAAGATCAAGGTTGGCACTCGATGGCCATTGGACTATAGGAAGCTGTCAAGCCCCTGTTTCGGTGTGGTATCGTTCGTTGTTGCTGCTTTGCAGATCGCAGCGTGTAGGAGAGATGATGTGGTTGAAACTGACGACGAAAGGAGCTCAAATTTAGAAGTGCCAGCTCCGGCAGCAGCGGTACCAGCGCGGGCCAGAGCCAGCTTTGGTGGGGCAAAAGGATGCAAGTCAGGGGCCAGGGATCTTGCACCTTTACGGTCGGCAGCCGCTGGGCCACTGACAGGGCTTGAAATGGAGCCTATATGTCATTAGGGACGTTGGGCGAGTACCGAGGTTCGTTGCTGCGTCTTCAAGCAATCATAGATAAATAACGGCACATTTTGAACGCTTGGTTCATGATTATGTATTTCGTACTCCAGATAACAATGCGTTTTTAAAACTCTACAGCGAGGCTTCTCAATCCAAGCGGCACTGCATTGATGTCTGATTTAAGCCAGAGGGTCTGGATCACGAAGTTTCAATCTCTGCCTGGGAAAATTTGCGCGCAGAAATCTTCCTCTTGAACAGCTCATCCATGGCAGCCTGCGGCCTGCCCCGGACCTCTGGCAGGCAAAGGTACGCCCAAACCCAGAAGACGGCATTGACACCAGAGTATACCATCGCCGTGCGAGGTCCAAGACCCCACCCATTGGGAGTATCCTCCAGCATCCTCGGCAGTAGCCACATGTTGAACTGGCCGGCGATGAGGTACGCTACACGGCCGATGACGAGCGTCTTGGCCTTTTGGCGCGTCGAAGGGATCTCTGGGTTGATGGCGTATGCGAGCGGTCCAATCGAGAGGTTGTAAACACCGGTGAAGACAACGAGCATGACCGCAATAACCCACGGAACGGCTACGTGTGCGTCGTTGAAGAAACCCAGAACACCAACGCCGGCCATAAGGATTACTGCGCCCCCAAGACCCCAGAGCCAGATCGTCCTGCGCCCGATGTACTTCATCAAAGGCCACGAAGTGACGATGCAAACGATGCCGATGGCGTACTGGATCAGCGTGAAGTCGTACGACTTGGAGCTGCTCATGCCGGCCTTTTGGTACAACTTGGCCGAGTAGAACATGAGCGCCGACCCGCACAGTTGCTGTGTTAGGTTGGTTGTCACAACTATCATGGTACGGCGAAGGTTGGTGCCGCGGAAGCACTCGAGATACGTGATCTCGGAATCATTCTTGTCGTTCTTCTCTTGCTCGTTCGTGAGCTCGAGGACCTTGACCTGGCCGTTAACAGGGTACGCTGGGTCTTTGTTTAGTCTGGCGAGTGAGCTGCGCGCGAGATCGGATCGGGATTGTCGCATGAGCCACCAAGGCGATTCTGGGGCGAGAAAGACGCAAATCAGTATGGGGAGAGGCCATACCCACTGGATAGCGACGGGTAAGCGATAAGCCAAGGTGTCGTTGTCTTTGATGGTCGTCACGCCCTTGATCGCTGCTGTCGAGAAGAGCTGGCCGAAGATCCAACACATGGAGACGAATGTCGTGAGGGCCGGGCGGAGTTTTAGGGGGGAGATGTCTGATGCGTAGGCGAGTACGCAGGCTTGGAAAGACCCCCACGGCATGCCCAAGAGAAAGCTACCGCCAACAATCATACCTAGACCTGCGTTGTAGCCTCCCGTGGCTAGTGCTGCCGTCGCGAAGAAGTTGACAAAGAGGAATACCATGACGGTGCCGAGGGACAACATCATGGTTTTGCGGTAGCCGAATTTATCCATGGACAGGCCGGCGAAATACATGGCGGAGACCTGTCCAACCTGGCTGCTGGTGAGAATCATGGACTGCCAAAGAGCAGGGATTTCCTTGGCGGCGCCGCGTCCTGAGGAATGGCCGAAGAGATTCTGGAATTGGGACAGGGAAAAGAAGTTGCCCATGAGGGCCAAGTCGTAACCCTCCCCGACGATGGTTAGAGCGAAGAGGATGGACCACTTGATCGCAGGACGAAACTTGCTGACGGTCTGCAGGTAAGAGTGTTGCTCCTCGTAGTCCCTGGCAGCCCTGGCCTCTGGGTCAGAGGCGATGGTGTCAGGAATCTCTTTCTCTTGCGAAGAAGACATACTGGTGGACTGTTGATGAGTGGGTTAGGAATGGTGATACAAGTATAGAGCCGGTCGTCGGCTCAGTAAAAACCAAACGGGATAAAACAACATTGACAAAAGTTCACAACAGCGGGAAGAACATGCCTTTTTGCCGAAAGACTGGCGAAAAGCGGGATGGATGGGCGCAACATACGACACGAAGCTATGGCTTCCAAGGGCCACTGCCGTCGAATTCGCAAAGCTTACCAGCTCGAAACCAGCAAGGTTGGGAAGGGGCGTCTTTGGGTGGTCCTGGAGCGGATCGACTGAGAAAGGGCGGACTTTGGTTAAGGTAACCCAACCTTCAGTTGCTGGCTGGAAGGGGGGAAGTACTGACAGCTTGAAAGGAAGTAGGTAGCTGGAGATCTGGCTCCACCTGAACAATACGGGCTGTTGGCCCCTCGCTCCCGGCTTGTGGAAAGGCGTTCCTAGGTAGCTTACAACTCAACTCCTCTGCCATCAAGGGTCTTGCATTGTTCTTCACAATACAAGAACATGACTCTGGCAAGGTCAGGTACAAAATGGCACGAGATGATGCGCACGTGTTCAGTCAACATGAAGTCATCGCAGTGCCCGGGCCGCTAGCGTCTAGGTAGCTCATCAACAATGAACTTTGCAGGCAAGCAAGATCATAAGTTTGTCTTCGGTCCATACATCAAACTCCGAAGTAGAAATGAGGTTGACATGGCCGGCTCGGGCTAGGTGGCGCGAGAATCACTGGATGCCACATGCAACAAGTCATAACCTGGATGGCCTGCATTGATAGCCCTAGATGCCCAGGATGTGCTTTACGAAAAACGGGTGCCGGGCTATTGTACTGCTAGAGCCAGATCCGAAGCCGTTGGTGTCCTCGATCGTGGTTGATAAACGCCTAGTTGGTACAAGGTTTTGCGTTCTTGGAACTATACAAGACCACTGCAAATCCAAGTACGAACAGGCTCAACTTTTACTTCTGTTTAGTTCAGAGGGCTGATCTACATAGGATTGCACAAATTTTGCTATCCGGTAGAAGGCAGATCCTACTCATGTCATATCCGAGTACACCAGATGACTGTCTAGACAGACTCAAGTCAGCCCTGCAACAATGGCTCCATACTTCCGGGGCGCATCTTTGCACCCAGGAATCGTGATATTCAATTTTACAGTCTATAATGTAGGAAGCCCTACAATCACCTCATTTCATCGTCTCGAGTCGCCGCTCCGATGCCTCGAGCTGTAGTAATCTCGATCTCTGTCCCTGTCCCTATCACGGTGCCCGTGCCTATCCCGATCCCTTTCCCGTTCACGCTCGCGATCCCTTTCATCCCTGTAACTCTCTCCCCTCCGCTCTTTGCGCTCGTTTCGCTTCTTCTCCTCATCGCGACGATACTCGTCCAGCCTTGGCCGGCTGTTCTTCTTCTTCCCCTGATTCCACTGCCCCAGATCCTCTGCGCCCTCCAGCTTCTTGGCCCCCAGACCAAGCTGGTTTTGCCGGCGCTCCGTCGGCTGCTTCTTCTTCGGCCCGCGCAACTTGCCGTCCCAACCCATGCCGCGCAGTAGCGCAGCGCCGAACTCGCCGTCAGGTATCGCCTCGTAGTCTGCGAGCGTCGAGTCCTCGCCCACGTGCTTGATGTCGGATAGGTAGGCGTCCTGCTCCGTCGCTTGGATGATAATGTCCTCCTCCTCGCGACGCTTCTTCCCGAGGAGAGCATCCATGGCGTCTTCGTCTGCGGTCCGCGGGGCCTTCACTTGTGAACGATCCTCCTCCTCGGGCCTTTCTGCCGTCGCATCCTTGACAGGGTCTGTCGCATCCTCTTCGCTCGTCTTGCGCTTCTTGATGGTCAAGCCCCACTGTATTTCCTTGTCCGCATCGGCGAGTTCACGATCAGACGGCTGTTTCACAGCATTATGTTGGTGTCGCTGCTGGGCCTGCACCTCTGCAGGCAGCAGGTTCTTGCCGCCTCTGCGCGCGCGCAGTTCTGACTTCCAGTCACGGTTTCCTTGCTTCTCGATCACCAGTTCTCGGGGTTTCTCTTTCTGTTTGGATTCGCCGCCAAACTCCGTGATCGCCTCGTGCCGTTCGCGGCCGCCATCGTGGTCGCCGTCCGAGTCCGAGTCGAAGGTGTTGTTGAGTGCATTCGTTCGGGGTCGCTTGCCTAGTGATGATGGTGGGTCTGGGCGAGAAGATTTCTTGTTATTTTTTGAGCTCGAGGAGCCCCCCAAGCTGATCGCTATTCTCGGAGCTTTGGGGCCGTCTGACATGGCGCTGGCGAGAAGACAGGCTGTAGTGGGTTGAGTTGAAAAAGTAGAGAGATGACAATCGCGAGAGGCTTGATCAGAGAAAGTATTGGTCGGTTCACCTTGCGACGTCAACTTGCAGGGATGCGGACCAAGCGTCTTATGTAAGGTGGGGCACGTTTTATGCAGCAAGTACAGCTAGAGCTCCCACCACGCATCAATATCGTAGCTTTTGTCTATGAAGCCCAACACTCTACTTTTGCAGGATACCGACTCCACTTCCTCTATCTCTCGTCACCACGAAGATTGCCAATCCCCTACGTAAACATTGATATATTCTTTTGTGGCAAAGACTGCTCTACCTAGAATGCAAAGACTTGGTCCTCGAGCTTGCTAACAGGGCGGGCCTTCTTAAATCCAAGGCTCTCGGCGGTTTTCTTCAGGCCACTGACCATGGGCGGGGGACCGCAAAGAAGAAGCTTGACATCGTCGGCAGCCTTGGGAAGCAGCTTCTATAAGTCTGTTAGCTCCGCATACAACGAAAAATCTTCCAAAGAGCCTTACGGTGATCATGTCGGCGGTGACGTATCCGACGCCTCCGGTCCAGTCAGCAGGCGGCTTATCCAGGACGTAGTGCACACGGAAGCCACTGTCCTCCTTAGCAAGAGCATCAAGGTCCTCCTTCAGCAGAATGTCCTGAGCCGTAACGTTGGCAAAGATGAGGTCGATCTCGGTCCTGTCGCCAGTCGGACGGCCGCGGATGACGGCACGGATGATTTGGAGCATGGGAGTAATGCCAGTCCCGCCAGCAATCATGCCAAAGTGGCGGACCATATTGGGGGTGTAGACGAAGGCGCCCTTGGGACCCTTGACCTTAAGGGTCTGGCCGACCTTCATCGACGCCATGTACTTGGAGATGTTGCCGGTGGGGTAAGACTTGATCAGGAGGTCGAAGTAGCCGGGCTGATGGTCGCCAGAAATGGGAGTGTAAGAGCGCACAATCTCCTTAGTGGTGCCATCGGGTTGGGGGCAGTTTGCACCGATGGAGATGTGCTGGCCGATGGGAAGGCCAAGGATGCTCTTCTCGGAAGGAAGTTTGAAGCGGTAGCTATGGAAGCATTAGCTACAAGATCGAGTTCGATGCTCTAAAAACGACTTACATAGCGACGTTGTGGGAGATGATGGTCTTCTCCTTGAGCTCAAACTCCTGGAAGACGTCAGGCTTGAGGACCTTCTTGATCTCTGTGCGCGGGGGTTGTCAGTGGTCAATTCCGAGGTGTTCCGAGAGGTACCGAACTCACGCATCGCGTTGAACTTGTAGGCACCCATCGCAAGCGCCAACAGAACAGCGTATGGAACCCATTCGCTCTTGGTGATGGCGCATCCCAGGATGATTAAACCGGCCGGGATGTAAACATTGTCGAAGTATTTGCGAGAAGCGAGGGAGTCGGCCATGTTGAAGACGATGTCCGAAGCTCTTCTCCACAGAAAGCGGTAAACGGTGTGGTTGGGCTCTTTGGTAGCTCGGGATCCAGGCCTGGGGAATCTAAGGATTGCAGGAAGAAACTCTGTCAATTAGTGCCACAAACTTTGCAGACAACGAGCACTGACTGAAGGGACCGCTGTTCCCGAAGCTGTCGCAGTCGATTGGTGTTGGATGAAGGTTGAAGCTTGAGGTGCGAACGTGCGAACCAGATATCGTAAGATCGCGAAAGTGGGACAGCCCCTCCAATTTTCTGTTGAGTTGCCGAATTTCTGCCAGCCCTTAAATGGCGAGCGGTCAAGTCGCAGTGCAGCTTTGCGATTGCGAGGGTCAGCGCGTGTGGATGTCTGGGCGCGGGAACGCGAAAGCGGACCAGAACTGGCAAAATATTCCGATGTCAAGAGCCAGGGGCCCGACCGACGTCGGCTTTGATGCGTCGGTGGCTTTGCTCTTACCGATGCGCCACTTTGTGGCCGTGCAGGCGGCTGGTAGGGTGGCAATGACCCTAGCAAGCCTAGCCACGACACCACGGTGTTACTCAACTTCCCTCAGCCCTGGGAACCATGCGGATGCGCGTTGTTCCAGAGATCAGCATGTTGATCAACCAAGTGACGGAGCTGAGCTGCAGGAGTCCTCTGGTTTCTAAACATACTGCTTTATTCGCACCCGGAGACGTTGTACCCGGGAAATGGACACTTCCAATGCGTTGATGTTCATCTGATGCATGCCACATGCCCATCAACTGTGAACCCTTCTCTAGCTATTCTTCCGTCATAATAGCCATCGAAGCATCGTGCGGCCCATGACATGTTGTGTAATCAGCCTGTAAGTCGAAATCCAATGCGGGACATTCCCGAATTCCTGCTGACGTGTTGGTCGCAGGGCGACACGGAATTATTGCACGCTCAAGTTTTGCTGCTCTCAGGCATCTTTCAGCAAGCTCGGTACGACAACAGACAGCTGCCATGCCGGGTTGACAAAAAAACCTTAAAGCTGTTCATCGCGCGCTGTGCTTTGCAGCCTCCTGGCTGTAGGTATTAGCAGCATCGTCAATGCGCCGTTTACCAACGAAAATACCTGTTCTTCAAATCGTTTAGCTACTCAGAGAGACAGTCCGTTGGTTACTGGTCGTCTTGACAGCGCGACAGTGTTATCTCGTCATTGGATCGATCGGACAAACAGCAGTAGTCGAAAAATGACATCATGGCAGCTGGCGGCGTGGCAGTGAAACGGAACGACCCAATGAACCACTAGTGTGGGAAGTAGCTATCTGGCCTTTAGTATGGTGACCTCGGGTGCATCATGAACGGCCTGAGTCTGGAATGCTGTTTCTGTGTATGCAACGCGGGTCAGTGGAAATTCTGGGATTTTGTGATCGGCCGGAAACAATGTTCGATGGTGGACCAAGCCATTGCATCGTCCCACGATCGGGAAGTGGGATCTCGGTGCCGTGTCACACGGTGATAACGCGTCCTTCCCCAGATGCAATTCTTGTTCAATGGGCCCCGGATGCAGGAGAAGGTGAGAGGGAATTCTGTGACGAAGAACAGAACTCTTCATCGTCACGTTCTTGCGGATACTTTGCGCTACCGGTGGTGTCGTACGAGGGTTGCGTTGGATAAAAGTTGGGTCTTGACCGATAGCGGTGGTTGAAAAGTGAGACCGGCCGGACTGTCAAGCGGTGCCGGTTGTCCCCGTTTCTGGCGCTATGTCGCTCTAGATATCCATCGGGCTAGACGCGGGAGATCCGTGCACAAGTCGTTGGGAGAAAGAAACATGCCTCCGTTGCGCCCGTGTTGCTGTGCATCCTCGAGTGACAGGAACAGCTGGCTCACGCATACAGCAACTGGGAAGCCAAAGTGTCGCTTTCTTTGGAACTGTGGCTGACGCAAGGAGGTAGAAAACTCCACGGAAAGGCAACTTCATGCCGTGGCCATGGCTGGAGCAACTGTGTGTGCATAAATCCGATTCATTTTTAGGAACACTGGGACAACAGCTCAATCAACGACTAACATTTGCTGGCTTGGCCCAGGATGGGGAGTGGATTGCGGTTTGATAATGGGATAATTGGTTTTGCACTCCTCGATGTGGCGGACCAAGCCTGCGGTAGTGGCTTTTTTTTTGTTGGATGGACCCCCTTTCCCATACTCGCAGACATGTACGTACACTACACAAAGCACGGCGAACAAGTCAACAGGGTACACCCGACAGGATCCCCCCCTGCCCTGACGACGATCAGAGACAAGTCGCAATCTTGACAAGTTACCCCCTCCCCAGCCCGCATCAAGCCCGCAGCTTCTCTTCAAGGAAGATGCCCCCAAATCCCCCCAATCTTGGCTGGCGCGAGATGGTTTCACAATCTCGCATCCGTGGAGGTAGCAGAGTCGGCCGGGTTGTTTAGACGATCGCGTTGCTGCCGAGCATTCCATCCCTTGGACCTGGGAAACGGGATGCGTTTACGGACATCTTCACTGGGGGGCACGCACGAGAGAGATTATGGTTCAGCGGAATGTCTGGAACCGTGTATTCTTGGATCGTTTCTTTGCCCGGGGTTTGAACTGTCCTCGAAACCGGCCGCATGGCATGATGACATTCGATGTTGCCGATGGCTGTCAATCCCTCCTTCGAACCGCAAACACGGGCAATTCTGACAAGGAATTGAGCCGATGGTCATTCGGTCGTTGGGCCGACGCATCTATATCTCGTGCTCGTCCTCGGCAAGGCGGCAGCCGGCACGGTGCTCGAGTCTGTATTTGGGTGCTTACGAACTGCGTAATGGAGGTAAGCCAATCAGTCTTGGCTGAAGCGCCAGGCAAGGCACCACACAGCCATGAACAAAGGAAGGGTCCCAAGACCACCCCTCGTATCCGTATAATACGGGGCTGACAAGGCCAGGGCATTCGAGCTTAGTGAAATGCTCTGTTTAATCCATCACAGTCTTTTGATGAGGGACTGAAGTCTATTCAAAGACACGAGAAAAAAGGGGACTCCGAGAGCACCGCAACTTCAGCCTGTAGAGAATTGTGTAGAATCACCTTGTGCCCGGAAGATAACGCAGCCGGAAGTGAGGCGGGCCGAGAAGGGGGAGATTTGAAGCAATCTTGAGATATTTCAAGTCGCCGGGGCGGCCCCCTCTTTCTGAATATTGAAAGTGGCTTGAAACGACCCTTACTTTCGGACTGGCCGGCTCTAGCGCGTCTCCACGGTAAGGAGCCTCAAGGAACCAGAAAGTTAGAGAAGATTGAGGGAGAAAAGGAAATAGAGGAGACAAGTCGCTGGCTATCAAGGCAAATCAATCGGTGATCACGATCAGAGAGAACCCTACTAGAAGAATCCTGGGTGGACCGGGTGGGCCAAGAACGACATGCATGGCTTGGTAGTGGTGCGGGCGACCAGGCCCGAGGGCGGCAGGGAAAGGCCGACGGAACCAGTAAAACTAATGTGATGCTGCCCGCGTCTTGTTTGCTGGCCTACCTACCTACCTTAGCCCAAAGCCCGAAGTGAAGGAGGGAGTCACGGCATCTAGTGTACAAAGTCGCACATTGGCGACTAACGAAATCTACTGCGAGATTCCATGTCCAGGAGCACACCCGGATGGCATATCACGCTATGAGCCGTAAGCCCATGGCCCCGGGAGCCACTAACTCCTCAGATGAGCATCTACCTACTTCAAGAGGCGGGTTGTGCGGCACTTCAGGTACGGATACAGTTCGCCCTACTTAGATGTTGACGTGCTCGAGTTGCACCGCCCGCTCCGCGTACGCCAGCCAGCTTGGCCGTCGACATACCGGTAGCGTAGCAACAACAACCCATGTCTGGTCAGTCGATGGCCTTCGGCGGGCTTGTGGATGCGAGGCTCCGTGGAATTCGACGGGGTTGGAAGGGGGGATTTGGCGGCAGCATGTGCCGGATGCTGTGCAGAGTAGTGCTGGCTAGCATTACAGTAGCATGGATCCGTAGTCTGAGGCACAGCAACAAGGTAGCTGAGGAGCGAGTGCCGTGGGGTGCTGTGCGAATGCAACATGTATCCCACGATTCTTGCGGTGGGGTATGCACGAGACTGAGATGCACTGTCTCTGATGGACGGTCTTTTCAGTCTGGTGCTACCAACAAGGTGCACTCACTCCCTTGGCGAACAAGCTGCAAGCAGGTCACGGACCCATGGCACCATGATCCACGCACGCAGGACGCGGATAATGGGATGGATAAGAGCGGACTCGGGTGCATGTTTCGATGGATATGTGTGGATGTTTGTGGACGCTCATGCCGCAGCAGCCTGTTAGAAGTTGCGTTCGTTTCTCAGGAGCTGACCAAAAAGTTTCCAGGGTGTGCTATGCTAGCAGTCATAAGCCTCCAAACAGCGGTCGAGTGAGCTCCATCGGCTTGCTTTCCAGCTGTCAGGGCAACAGAACTGGATATCCGTGCCTAGCAAGGAGCGAAGGACCCGGCGGAATAGAGAGATGGAAGTGCAGAGACTGAACCGAATGCAAAGTGCGTACAGCTTGCGCCCGTATCTCTGTACAGACAGTACCGTAGAGATACCTGGCCGGCCCGCATAGAAAAAGGGCCGCACCCATCAAGAAACCCACCACAAGCCCCAGGCTTCCCGCCCCGAGAAACGCCTCCCATTGGTGACGCAGCATGGGTACTGTACCGGCCAGCAAGCACCCACTGTCTCTTTGAGTGTCCAGGAGAAGTAAAGGATGAGAGACTGGAGAGGACGCCAGCGCCAGGAACCCCGCGTATGTCTCATTGGGCGAACGCTTTCGGGGGACAGAAACAGGATGGGCATCGATAACATCATAGCTGCATCAAGCTTGGGCTACCTGGGTAGGTACCCTTACTCGTATGGATACTCATACACTACCGTCCACTCCCAAGCCTGACCTCTATCCAATCTCGAGCCCAGAAAGCACTCCGGTCCTTGACTCCGTACCCACGCAGCGGCCGTACCCAGATTCCCGATCCCTTTTCTCTGCTGTGTCTCGCTCTCTGCTGCTGCTTTTGCTGCCGTCGTGAACACACTCCTTCCGTCACCTTTTTCCTTCTCATCCGTCCCTTTCTCCAATTCCCAATTCCCAAACCATCATTCCCATACCTAACCTTTGTCTCTTCCTCTTACTCACCTTACCTTTCACTTTCAACCCCCGGCTGGTCCTGCACTCCTCCATGTACATACACATACATACTCATCCTACCTTGGCCTGACGAATTCCTGATCTGACCCCATTCCGCTCCATCCCGCACCTACCGATACGCACGCACTTGGTACCTTTGCCCGACTCGCACCGCCTTGTCTCTCCCGACAGCCAGGATCAGGTCTCTAACACTTCTGTCTCGACATCCATACGCATCCACCCACCCAATCATCCGAATTGCACCCCTCGTCGTCCGTTGCTACCACCTTTCCTTTCCCTTCCAAGCAAGGTCCCTAGCTGTTGCCGGAGGCTTGCTGCACTCCAAATTCTTCCCTCCAAACAGCTGTTCCTTGCTCCCCAGGCGCCTTTTTACCTTGTTCGACCGAACGAGATAGAGAGAGACCCTTATTAACACCCCTCCGCCATCCATCTTCTTTTGTACACGCTTCTTGTCCCCCTCCTCTTCTGATACCTTTTCCAACCTTTTTACACGTCCCTTATCTCGACCCTTCACTTTGTGGTCTTGTTGACGGAGACACCTCCCTCATCCTTTCCGCCCACCCATTCCCCTCGAGTGTGAACAGCGCATCATTCACCGGTATCCGATTGACCTCGACGACCTGCCTGTTCGTAAACGTTGCATGGCCCAATAATCTGTATTCTCGACCTTGACGGCCTCGTGGGCCCGAGTAGGCCGGGGCAATTTTTTTTTTACGACGACGGCGGAATAGGCTGGGCTTGGACCCCCGATTACTGCACGTCAAATCTGTCAACCATGGACGCCGCCGCGAACCGACGGTCAATGCTGCCCACCATTCAGACGACACATCATGGAGACCCGAGTACTACGAAAAGGAGCGCGGCAGAGCTCCGGAGTGTCTCGACACCGACGCTGGGAGGCAAGAGGCGCAGTTTCTTATCGAAGACCTTCAGGAAGGTTAGCAGCAGCTCGTCATCCACCGACCTCGCATCCATGTCCGAGGAGGCATCCAGTGGCCTCCATATGAAGTCGAAACGAGTCCTGCACAAGAACAACGGATCTGGTGGCTCGAATTCGTCCTCGATCTTCTACCGTCTCAACCGCCGAGCTTCCAAGGACTCGTCCGCGAGTTCTCACATGTCGGAGGAAACACCAAACTATCTCAGCCCTCAGCCGCCGCCGCCGCCGCCGAATCCTGTTAGGATCCTTAAGCATGGACCGCTGAAGACCGACAGCCGGTTGTGGAAGTCCCGCGCAGAGTATGTCGTTTTGACTGATGGACATTTGATCAAATTCAGCAGCGTCGAAGCAGCGAGATCAAATTTTAATGAATTGGCTCCTCCGACGGCGCGCCTCAAAAGGTCATCGACATCGTCCACTTTGAGCCAGGATGGAACACATTCGGACGGCCGGGTCGAGATCCCTCTGTGCAGAATCGTCAACATTTTCAACGAAGAGGGTGTGAGTCCACACTTTGGACTGGATGTATGGTGGTCCGAGACTTCTCCTTTGGTATCATGGGCTTGCACAAAACTGTTCTTTGGTATGCCTGCAGAACGAGACGATTGGATGTCGGAAATTCGCCATGCTATTCGTGAGTCTGCGGGCTCATCCACCGTGCCAAAGGGTCTCATCGCGTCCAATGTTGAGTCTGCCATTTACGCCATCGTTGCAAGAGAAGAACCGTCATGCCGCGGATGCCCGCTAGACATCTTCCCGGTCGTCCAACGCACCACCCTTCTGAGTTCCAAGGCAGAGAACATTGAAAATGCCAAAAAGTCTCGTGACGGGTCATCGTATTACTTGCTCCTCGGCCAGAACAAGTGCTATCTTGTCCGAGTTGCTAGGACGTCGGTCTACAAGGCTCCCCAGGATATCGACATCAGCACTGTAGTCTTTGGTCTGACATCACTGGTCCGTCTGAAAGCTACTATGGTCCCTCACGAAGAGCGGTTTGTTCTTGGGTTCCGGTATGTGGTTCGATTTGGTTGTCAAAGTCACGAGTACCGCTACTAACCTGCATTGAAGATTACCCTGCGAAAACGAAAAGCGCCTTGAGCTCGCCAGCCGTTGGTACAGAGAGATTGTCATGACATTCATGAAGGCAGACCGCGCGGTAAAGCCTGCATGGCCTCAGCACATGCAACGAGACATCTTCGACATCAGAGGCCTCACCGCCCAGCTTCTGCTCCCCTCGGGCCAGGATTACGGTGGTCTCAAGCGAACCCTCGAAGCCTATTGCGCGACCTTTCAATGCAAGGCCCCTGAATGGACTGTGAACTGGAAGTGCGAACGTAGGGAACACTGCCCTGAGTTCCGACTCCTCCCTGCGAAGGAATCAGGCGGATATTCGGCTCTCCAGCTTTTGGCAGTCTTTAAAGCGCTCCGGTTCAACGACTACTTCAAGGCCCTGTCATTTCACGATGTTGACTTCTCGCCGCTGTGCGGCTTGACCGATGTTCCAGGCTGGGATGAGTCTGTGGCAGACGTCAACCGAGACGGTAAGCTGGGTGCTTTCAACGGGTCAAGATGCAAATTTGGCTAATTTTTTTTTACAGGAGTCGTGATCGATGGCGTTCACCGCGACATCCTCAAGTCTGCGCCATTACTATCTCAAGAGATCCACGCGGTTGCCTTCACCTCCGGATCAGTCAGGAAGATCGACCTGACCAACGTTCTGGCGTCGCGGAATATAGTTGGCGTTTCGCGTGCTCGAGCTGGTTCCAAGAAGGAGCCCGAAGTTGTTCGCCCGATCCTCCTGCTCCTCAGAACAGGCTGCATTCCTTGCGACACTCTGCTGGTCGGCGGAAACCCACTGACCGCTGCAGAAGTTGACGATCTGGGTGAGTAGGACTGACGGACTCTTGTGTATCCTTGACTGATGATATTCAGTGGACGTCTTGCACATTCCAGACCTGCTAAAAGAACTGGACATTTCGAGATGCAACCTTGACGAGAGGAGCCTGGAAGAGATCTGGGACGCCTTGCCATCTCAAGGATACAAGATGGAAGCACTAAACACCTCCCGCAATATCGGCCACGTGGATCACATGGTTGTGAAAAACAACCTTTCCCACTTTGTCTGCCTTCGAAAGCTTGGGATGGCCGGCAATTGCCTCAGTCAGTTTAGGGATCCCATCTTCTTTGATGAAACCATAATGCAATGGGGTCTGGAGGAGCTGGATCTGTCCAACATCAACGTATGTCCTTCGAGACCATCCTACCTTCAGCGACTGACTTTCCACAGCTGAACGATGCCACGTTACAAGTTTTGGGTAACTATCTACAGTGTCCCGAGGCCAACTACCTGCGCAGGCTAGATCTTAACAACTGCGGGATGACCGGTACCCAAATCGCTGAGTTGTTCCGCAGCATGGGCCAGGGTAGAGTAATGACATGCTCCATTAGTGGCAATTACCTAGAGACTGGCACGGAAGCACTGTCAGCTGCGATCGCCGATAACTTTGGGCCAACATCATTGTTCATGGACATGATCGAGTTCCAGAACGAAGAGAACTACATCAAAATCATCAAGGCACTGTCTCTCAACCGTACCATCCGACTTCTCAGTTTGGTAGGAACGTCGACCCCTGGGCAGGTTAGCGAAGAGGCTTGCATGGCTGTGTCGGATTTCTTTGCTACGAATCAGTCGGTTCAGTATCTGGACTTTTCCGGCTTCTCTGCCAAACTCGACGAGGGTCAGCTGGGTCTGGGATTCTCGCGCTCCTTGTCCGGACTCGCCGAGAACACAGCGTTGCGCCATTTGCGAGTTCGCAACCAAAAGCTAAACCTGAATATCGGCGATCTGGCACACGCCATCCACCTCAACCAGACTCTGTCAACTTTGGATGTGCAGGAAAACAACTTCAACCTATCGAACCTGTCGCACATGGTTAAGTCTCTCGACCAGAACAGCTCCATCCAGGAGTTTTGCCCCTTTTCGCGCTCCGAGCTCAACGCAGCTGTCAAATCGAGCGTGCAGAACGTGGGAATGCCCACCAGCCAGCCCTCCACAGCTCGAGCTCGCCGAGCATCGAAGGTTCTTTCGAAAGCCACGTTTGAGAACTTTGCAATGGAGATGGACAAGAATAACGCTCTCATGCAAAACCTAAAGGACGAATGGAGTGTCAAGACGGCTCAGATCGACCACGTCCTCGAGAGGAACCGAACCTTGGCCCTCGAGAAAGAGATGGCTCGTATGCAGTGGGATCCGCAGGAAGAGGGCCAGGAGGACTGGATCACCCTTGAACTAAGCAATGTCTTTGGTGGACTTGCGGTCAAGGCCATGAAGACTCGCCGTAGGATCATGCAACCCGGCTATCGTGGAAGCGTGTACTTCGGCGCCAATACTCCTCCTTTGGAACCTATGGAAGAATTCGGTGCCCAAGCAGCTCCGCATCACGTCACTCGGGAGGAAGTCATGGAAAGCCCCGGGACAGAAGGCGCCAGCGGCTCTTCTGGTCTTCCAACGCCCCCGAATGGGCACCAGCAGAAAGCCCTGTCAAGGAATACGCCATTGCGTCGAGCGCGCCCCAGTCTCGCGATGCCCCACGCATTGTGGACGATAACACTGACGATTTCGACCTATCTCTTCTGAAACATATGATTCAGCACGGCTTTGACCTCGACGAACCGACGCAGGCTCAGCCCGAGGACGTTGGCAGGAAAGCCGGGACCTCAGTGTCGACCACGAGACTCGGGTAAACCAACAACCAAGAACAAAAAAATACAGAAATCCACACAAGAAAAAAAGAAGAAAAGAAGAAGAAGAAGAAACAGTAAGGAATGAAAGAAAAGAGAAACGAGAAAAAAAAAACACATGAGTGAGGACTGGACACGTCAGCAACACCACAACTGAACTATAGACATCAGCGACGGCAACATCCTCTGTTTTGTGTTACATACTTTAGTGTTTAATCAGGCGTTCTCACAAAATGGGGGGCAACGTGTGTTATGGATACCGCGCGGGATTGATACCCAGAGTCGCAGGAGAGCTTCATTACCACCAATTGGTTCTGTTTTGTTTTGTTTTGCGTGTGCTCACATTGCATTGTTTTTCTGTTTGGCGTTCCGAGGTCTCACTCAGCATTGTTTTGAGTTTTCTCGATGTAGGATATTGTCTGTGACGCTGGATTTCGACTTGTTTAAGGAGATAGGCTATCATGTTTCTCACCCATAATACATAATTTGTGAGATTTTACTTGATTAATATCGCGTCGGACGGTGACATGCTGGTGTCGCCACGACTTTTATTGACCAGAGGATGTTGTTCAACTGGCTGACTCGAGCTATCTGTCTGCCAACAAGAGAGCGAGTCGATAGCGATAAGTTGCGGTAGCTTCTCGATTTTCTATGCGTTGTTGATTCTGCAGATAGGGGTAATTATGATTACTGCCGCAACTGCTCGCTGCGGTGTAGCTAGCGCATACTGGTTGTGTGGTCTGGCCTCCTTCCTTTCTCCTCAGCTGCTCTGAAGTAGTTCGTGAAGCGCCAACGTGCATGCATCGTGGCGAGCACAACATCACGACTTGCTTTGAAGATGTCGGGTACATCGGAGCCCTCGAGAATTTTTGAAGCGTCCATGGAGCAGACGCACTCGTAGCCTGGAAAACTGTCCAGGCTAAACGAGGCAACCTTGGCTCTTACACATGTCAAGATCGGCCCGTGGCTGGACTCTCGTTATGTTCACCAGTACACGCAAAGAACCAATGGCAGACGACTTGCGAAATCTGGTTGTGTGCTGTACTCATTTAGCGTGAGAATGGGGACACATCCACTCAAATATAGTAGTTATATCAACAAGGAATCTGAAAAAAGACCGGAGAACTAGGTGGAATAAACCAACGGCCAAATGTCTAAAGTAATTAACAAGGTCTGGACTTGGGAGTTGTAGTACTTGCGCCGTCACCCCCGGACTTCAGGTTGGTGCATGTATAATATCACGGAGCCTCACTCGGAGCCGGATGCGGTTGGTCAATGGCCGGCGTCAGGGGGCCGCATATTCGGTCGCTTCGGACGTGTCAGATGGGTATTGTGCAGAGATACCTAGAGGCAGAGAGGGTTCCCTCCCAAACAACCGCCAGCTGTTTGGAGACCCCTGCACATATGCTGCGCAGGCGGCTTGTGTTTGCCGATGCACTGGACACTCGGTGCCTTCTCCCTGTTGCGCGGGCCGACGTGTCCAAACTCTTATGTATGCCGCAGATGCGGGGGGCCGACACAAGAAGGAGAACATAATATGGGGCACTGTGTTTGCTATTCAGAATGCGAGGTGATCGCTGGGTGCAGAGATGGTCTTCTGCAATTCTGGATTCTTATGCAGCATGTGAGAAGACGACTTGAGTTTGATGTGATTTTGCCATTACCGAGGACGTTGAATCACAGACTGGAGAGCCGAGTCGCCTGCAGAGCTCCAATGCGTCTAACGAGGACCAAGCGTACCTTGGGTGACTCAAAGTAAATCGGAAGTTGGCACCACCTTGTAGGCTTAGCCCGAAATACTGATTGAGGACACTGTTAATTGGTTTATGGAAAGATTGCGTAGCGTAATGAAACACATGAGAAAAGTAGAATAAGATGGAGAAGAAGGCGAAGTTCTCAGACTCAAACTCTCAAGTGAGCTATCAAGCAGAATAGAAGGGCCAATGGTTGGATGTACAGTACCCTCCGGCTCAGGTTTGGCCTGGGCGAAATGGTGCTGTCGTGGGCTGCGAACTTTAACAGGTGGAGCGCGCAGCATGCCTACAGCGTACGAACAGGCGCTCCGCTAAGGGCATATGCATGACTTGATGCAATATGCGGTTCCAGGCTATGCGGCGTCACGTAATGTTCTGCAATGAGGACCCACCGCAGCCAAGCCACCTCACGTTAGGACGGCCGACGGACCCCTGTTCGTTCTGCTGCCAGGTTCCAACTGGCAACCGACCCAACCACTTGACTGGCCCCCCGTCCAAGCCGCCGCCGCACCTTCCTACTGAAACCCCCGTGTCAAGCTGGACACTTGTGAGCGCTTCGTCATCAGCGTTGCCATCACTCCGGCACGACATTTCCTCTCTCGTCCGCGAACAACTCTCCAATTCCCAAAGAATTGGAAAGCTCTCAGCCATCTCGATCGACGGAGACTCTCCGCTCGTGGAACCTGTCTTCGAACCAATCCCACCCATCGTCGGTCTCCTAATCGTCATTACGAATCTTCGAGCCCGATCTCCTTTGTCCGCCCAACCCGCTCACCATGTATTCGAACTCGAACGCCTTTCTGGGCGGCAATAGCCAGCGTCCCGGCGCGCAGCAGTATGGAAGCTCTTTCGGCGTGGGAGGACAACAGCCGGGACAGCAGCAGCAGCCGAGCCCGTTTGCTCCTCAGCCCACGGGCTTTGGTCAGGCGCCATTGCAACAGCAGTTCACTGGCTACCCGGGGATCCAGCAGCAACAGCAGCAGCCGCAGCAAGCTCCCCAACAGCTTCAACCTCAGTTCACCGGATTTCCTGGTCAGGCGCAGCCTCAGCAGAGCTTCCAGACTGGCGCGCCCCCGATGCCCTCGATCCCCCCACAGTTCCAGTCGCAGTTCCAGCAGCAACAGCAGCCGCAACAACCTCAACAGACTGGATTCCCGGGCCAGCAGCAACAGCAGCAACCTCAACAAACCGGCTTCCCGCAACCGCAACAGCCTCAACCGACCGGATATCAACAGCCCCAGCCAACAGGTTTCCAACAGTCCCAGCCGACTGGTTTCCAGAGCCAGCAGCAGACGCCTGCTCCGGCGGCAGCTCCCATCAAGCCTCAGGCTACGGGCTTCAGCCAGATGGCTGCTTCTTTCCGGACTGGCGGAACTCCAAAGCCAGCTGGTAGACGCCCAAAATCTGCCAACAAGATTCCTAACATTCGGCTGTCCTTCATCACTGCCCAAGACCAGTCCAAGTTCGAAACACTGTTCAAATCTGCTGTTGGTGATGGTCCGGCCGCCACCATGTCGGGAGACAAGGCAAGAGACCTGCTGATGCGGTCGCGTCTGGATGGTGATTCCCTCTCACACATTTGGTAAGTCATCATTGATCTGTTTGGCCGTCATAGCCAGTACTGATTGAAAACGCGCAGGACTTTGTCCGATACCACTCGCTCCGGAGAACTCCACTTCCCCGAGTTCGCTCTCGCAATGTACCTGTGCAACCTAAAGCTTACTGGAAAGTCTTTGCCGTCGAGTCTGCCTGAGAACATCAAGAACGAAGTTTCCAGCGTGGTGGACATTATCAACTTCAGCATCGCCGAGGATACTGGCCGGACCACCCCCGGCAGCAACGCGACAGGCAGATCGAGCACGGAGCCTACAATTCACCAACCCCAGCCCCAGGCCTCGAATTCCCAGTTGCTGCAAGCACAAATGACCGGCTTTCCTGGTCAGCAGCAGCAGGGTTTCGGGCAAGCCCAGGGTCTGCAGCCTCAGCAGACGGGATTTCCTGGCATTAACTCCCAACCTACGGGAATGAACCCGCAGCCTACAGGATACACGGGACCGCGACCACCGATGCCTCCCATGCCCACCGGATATGGCAACAACCTTACACCCGGAGGAGGGCCGATGGCTGCGCCCCTGAATGCGCAACCCACGGGTCGACCTGGCCAGTGGGGTCTCGTGAACACACCTGCGACTGGTCTTCCCAACATCGACGCTCTGCAGGCTAGAATGATGCCGCAGCAAGGCCGTGAGCAGCAAAACTTTACAACACAGGGCCTGCAGGGTAACGCGGTTATTCCTTGGGCGATTACCAAGGACGAGAAGCAACGCTATGATGCTCTTTTCAAGGCCTGGGACGGCCTCCACAAGGGCTTTATTGGCGGAGATGCCGCCATTGAAATCTTCGGACAGAGTGGTCTTGAAAAGCCCGACCTCGAGCGTGTGTGGACTCTTGCAGACAATGGTAACAAGGGACGTCTGAATCTCGATGAATTTGCGGTCGCTATGCATTTGATTTACAGAAAGCTCAACGGCTACCCCCTTCCCAACCAACTGCCGCCTGAGCTCGTCCCTCCTTCGACAAGAAACATCAATGAATCCATTGGCACCATTAGGTCAATGTTGAGTCAGGAGTCGGAGTTCCGTAATAAGTCGGGCGCTGCCCTGCTTCCTCAAAAGACCGGAGTTAGCTACATGAAGACCCATTCGTTGAGGGGCAGCCCTGGTGGTCACAGCAGTGGACGTAAGGATGCCACGGTTTTTAAGAACAACGATGAACAGGTAGGCTACAGGTCCAGCGCTCGCCGTCGTGTAGGCAACAACTCGCCTCGTCCCGAGTCGCCTGCTTCTACCGCCTACGATGATCTTGGTCTTGATCAGTTGAGGAAGAAGATCCGAGAGAAGGAAGTGCTTCTCGACGCCATGGACTTTGCCGACGAGAAGAGTCTGGAAGAGGATGACATGCTTGACAGACGCGACCGTCGCGAGGCAGAAGAGCTGTACCGTCGTATCCGCCGTATCCAAGACGACATCGACGCGCACCCTGATGCTGCCCTGGCGACGGGTGACTCGGAGGCTGAGAGACGTGCTTTGAAGCGACAGCTGCAGATTCTTACGGATAAGGTTCCCGAGCTGGCTTCCGCGGTTCGCAAGACTGAAAAGGCCATTGCAGACGCAAGACTCGAGCTCTTCAGACTTAAGGACGCCAAGGCTCACCCTAACAGTGCCGCTGCTATCGTTGGCACCGGGCCCG